AGTGATTAACGGCAAAGTTCTCCGAGCGTTTATAAACTTAAGGAAAATTGTAGAACTTGAAAGCAATTCAATCATTTCCAGTAAAATGGTGGGTTCTTTTAAAAAAAAATACTAAGATATTCAGGGCAGTATAGAGAACTTTAATGAAATTGAGAAATATTTTGGGCAGCTTTAAAAACATCAGGAAACTCTAGACTGTTGAAGAAGTTATGAATTAGTTTCGATAATTTGAATTGCAGACAAATCTTGAGAACTTCAGTGAAATCGTAGAACTATATTAATTATTTCGTTACGGGAGCTTAAATAAGTTCCTGAAATTTCAGAATAACTTCAAAAACTTCACATAAGTACAGAGATCGTCATAAATATTTCGAGAACTTCATAAAAGTCTATAGAACTTAAGGGAAGATCCGAGAACTTCAGAAATGTATATGGACATTTCGGGAGCATGTCAAATAAGTTAAGTAAAATTCCAAAAACAAGGGGAATTTCAGAGGAGTTCAGTTCCATTAGTTTCATTCAATTAGTGGAAAATTTCAAGAAGTTCCCAGATTTTCAGAGAAGACTTCAAGAAAGATTTTGGTCCCGCTAAAAAACTCATCAAAAAAACTTCAAGAAAGAACAGATATCCTCAGAGCAGAGATATTCCAGAGCCGCGAAATTACATAAATTTTAAAAAAGTTTCGAGAAATTCAGTGAATTGTTAAAACTTTAGAGAAGATTCATGATCGTTAGGAAAATTGTGGAAACTTAGGGAAGTCCAAAAAAGTTTAGAGAACTTTAAAACAATGCACAGTGGTCCAGAATGCAGATTTAGGTGGAATGATATGTTTTGAGCCTGAAATTGAAACTTTAGACTAAAAGTCTCTTCTACAAAGTTGTTCCTTATAGTTAGGCCCTCATTTTTATGACAATGAATTCTAGGGTGGTTCCTATTATCATTAAAATCAAAAATCTAACTTTTTTGTTTGAATAAATTAAGGTATACATTCTTTGGCAAAGTTTTAGCTGAGCTAATTTCAAGCAACTTTGTTGAAAACAACTTTTTTGTATCTCTTAAATTGGCCGATTTAGAGCTATTTTCTTGAATTGAGTTAGGGTGACTTTTTAAAAAAATAGTTTTTTTGCTCTATTTTTCTTATTTTGAATTTCTCAGCAAAGGTGTCTTGAGATAACTTTTAGATCTTAAGAAGGCGCAAATTTTTGCTACACAATGCTTGTCAATATCTTTCGCCGATAAAGAGTTATTGACGTTTTTATACTAAAAATATGCACTTTTCAAATGTTAATATCTCTGGTTGGGGCAAACAAAAAAAAAAGCTTTTTTGCAGCATTTGAAAGGGCGTACTTTTTTATTTGAAAATTCTCATAAATGTTATCTTCTAGAGACTTTTAAAACTCTTTAAGACGAATGTTTTATAGCTGAATTTGTTGCCTGTATCTCTTTTAATAAAAAAGATATACTCAAATATAGTAAAAAATATGACTAAATTCAAATTGATTTTATACGAGTTTAAAAAATAACATACCTTCAATTTTTTCATATTATTGAGAATAACATACGCCCTTTAAAAATGCTGCAAAAAAACTTTTTTTTGTTTGCCCCAACCAGAGATATTAACATTTGAAAAGTGTATATTTTTAGTATACAAACGTCAATAACTCTTGATCGGCGAAAGATATTGACAAGCTTTGTGTAGCAAAAATTTGCGCCTTCTTAAGATCTAAAAGTTATCTGAAGACACCTTTGCTGAGAAATTCGAAATAAGAAAAATAGAGCAAAAAAACCTGTTTTTTTAAGAGCCACCCTAACTCAATTCAAGAAAATAGCTCTAAATCGGCCAATTTGTATCTCTTAAAAAGTTGTTTTCAATAAAGTTGCTTGAAATTAGCTCAGCTATAACTTTGCCGAAGAATGTATACCTTAATTTATTCAAACAAAAAAGTTAGATTTTTGATTTAAATGATAATAAGAACCACCCTAGAATTCATTGTCATAAAAATAAGGGCCTAACTATAAGGAACAACTTTGTAGAAGAGGCTTTTAGTCTAAAGTTTCAATTTCAGGCTCAAAACATATCATTCCACCTAAATCTGCATTTTGTACCACTGTGCAATGATGAGAAGTATTGCGAGCATCAGGCTAGTTTCTCAAACTACAAAAGAACTTCCAGGCAGTTTCATTAACTTCAGGAATATTTTGGGAACTTTCAAGTTGTTCTGAAGACCTCCAGAATAGTCCATTACATATTTAACGGAGATTTTTCATGAAATTTCGCGTTCTCCCGAAAGTCTCATATAATTATTTCATAAATTCACTTGAAACGCTTCTCTGAATTCTCTAAAAAATATCACAAGAATAAAGATAGTATACTTCCCGCAACTATCCTTCGAATCTAATTTTCTTTTAATTTTCCCAGGAATTACCTTGAAATTCTCCTCAGTAAGAAATCCTATAGAAAGATTCTCAGAATTTTCATCGAATTCATTTCAGATTTATTTATTAATCTCACTCTTTCCCTTGGAGTTCTACTCACATTGAAAGCCTCCTAAGAATTCATTTTCATTTGTTTGGCAATCTCTTCTGGAATTATTTTCCGAATTTCTTTGAAGATCTGGAGCTATTCTCAGATTTAAGTGTAATCTTCCTTTTAGCATCCCCATTCTTCCCTTAGGTCACTTTTTAGTCACTTTTTTACAAGTATAAGTCGCTTATTTCTTCAACATGGTCACTAAAATCACTATTTTTGACAGCATTGATCGCTACCAGCCCTGCAGATGATTATAAAAGGAATTTCAAAGAATGTTACAAAAAAAAATTCTAACAAAGTTTTGAGGTAAATTTCAAAGGAATATTTAGGAGAGTATCAAGGCTATTTCTGAAATAATTTCAAGAAAAAACAAAGAAAAATTCCTAAGAAATTCGGAGAAGCATTTCAAGGGATTTACGAGAATACTGAAGGAATTCCGAAGATAATTCCATAGGAACTTCAGAAGGTACTAGTGAATACTGAGGAGTTTATTTCAGAATATTTTTTCTGGGAATTCATAGATAATACAGCGAACCTAATTAAGAATTTTAAGGGAACTGCAGCGTGAAACAAAGAGCCTACTGGAGATAATTTCAGTGCCAACATTTCAAAGGGGCGTAATTGCATTTGTAAACAATGGCTTTAGCCGTCGATTTCTCGTGAATAAAAGCTCACTCATGAAAAATAATTACACCAGCAGGTACAGAAATGTTTCCTTTACCAGTTAGCATTGTCATTTTGGAGAGGTAAGATTTCATTCGCGAGAGATTGACGGCTAAAGTCATTGTTTACAAAAGCAATTACGCCCCTTTGAAATGTTGGCACTGGTTTGTTAAGTAATTAGATGCAAATTCAAGACCAACAATTGAAATGGCCTCAACTCCATTTTGTAAACAAACATTGTAAAGCAATTTTCTCGCGAACCAAAGTCCGCCAACGCAAACCAACAAAATGAACAGGTAGGGGAAATTATCCTCTACCCGATTGTTTGCTAGGTTTGCGAATGTAGGTTTCTGGTCGCGAGAAAATGGTCTTATAAGCACTTTCACTAAGTATATGTTTAGTATTACTTCTGCGTGAAGTCAACGATTTACTTCAACTATGTGCTAATTTGATGCTAATTTCGAATAAAAGACTCAAGTGGTAATTTTTATACGATAGATGAGGAGGAGATGAAAGTATAGAATTGATAGTTCCGTTTAGATTACGGCAGTGTGAAAATTGCATATAGATAGTAGGATAGCGAGCTAGGACAACTTTTAAGGAAGGTACAAATCGGTTTTATCATCTCTCTTTACCAAACTACTCCATTGGAATTATCCTCAGAATTTTCATGAAATTATTATCAGAATTATCTAGGAATTTTCCTCATGAGTCTCGTGCCCATAGAATTCACCCCAGGTTTCCTAAAGTATTGTCCCAAAATAACCTTGGAATTCACATCAGATAACGGCGCCGGTGGTGTAGTGGTAAGCGTGATCACCTCTCACCCCAGCAGGCCTGGGTAAAATCCCAGTCGGCGCCGCCGGGATGTTCTGAGGCATAACATCTCTGATCACGCCTTCCTTCGGATGGGAAGTAAAGCCGTTGGTCCCCGGTTCATGAGTTGATGGGTCGATAGGTAGGGTCCAGGTGTGGGAGCTGCCTTCCTGGCACGTCGGTAGCATTGGTGCTCAGCACGGAAAACAAGATCGACGGAAAAAACAAACCAAAGGAAAAAATTCACATCAGAATTCAGTGGCGTTTCCTTAACCTCAATCTACCTGTGCACCAACTCTCAAAACATAAACAATTATCAAAATATTGCTTGCAATGGATAGATATCAAGTAAACTAGAAGATTAAGTGTATTTTTAAACCGATTCGAGTATGAATATGACTTTAAATCTTGTTTTAAAAGTTGGTGCACAGGTAAAAAGTGAGGTTACGGGACGCTACTGTCAGAATTCTTAAAATGCCTTTGAGAAAATTTCCTGGAATTTCCTTGTAAACTCTCCTTAGAATTCCCTTGGAACTATTCTGAAAATTAGATTCCCTTGGAATTCTTCTCGGAAATCAATGTCTTCCCAATTTCCCTGGAGTTCTCGACAGATTTTTTTTTTTTGAAAATATGCTCAAAGTTCTTCCCGAAAATGCTTTGAAGTTCACTCGAAATTCTTAAAAAGTCTCCTAGGAATACCTTTGAAACTTTCTACTAACTAGCTTGAAATTCATCAAAGAATTGTTTTGAGCTGTCAATAGAATTAGATACACTTAGATTTTTTATCGATACTTCCTTGGAGTTCTCCTCAGAATTTCCTTTGATTGATTGATTGTTTAACATTTAACCGTTATGTGCGTGATGCCCCCCAGACGGGTACCTATGTAATTTTAAACTTATTTGTTTTTTGTTACGACAAATTGCATCAAACTGGCAGCACTGGCAGCAACGAGAACGTACGACCAATCGAAGGCAAAAAAAAACAAGTTAATTTAAATACCTTTGTGTGTCTTACATTATACAGGTGCTATAGGTGGAACAGAAGAGTGAAAACAACAAACATGAAGAATCAAAGGTGCAATTAATAACAGTAGGTATATCTAGCACAAATATAGTGCTGCAACACACAGGCAGAAATAGATAGAGAGAGGGAGAGAGAGCCGCAACACATCAAGTAGTAGTGAAGAGAAGCAGCAGAGTGATCAATTGTTGTATTGTTGAAGAAGAAGCCAAAAGGAAATAACACAAAAGTGAGATGAAGATGATGATGACTGATCGAGTCGTGTTTATTGCTTTTGTTGATATGTGATGCAGAGTGGGTTCGAATCACGGGAAAATCCCAAGTCGTCCCCCGAAGAACTAAAGCCCAAGTTAGTGCACCGTAGGAAGCAACATTCGATGGAGATCTTCTAGCTGCAATTGCTGCAGCGAAGCAAATTCAAAATCGACAAAGAGCTACATTGGTGGCGTTGGATCAGGAAAATGGGTGCCAAGGATTCTAAACCGTCCTGCATAAGCTACGAAGATGCAGTGAAAAGGGGTAAGTAAGACAGTACAGAGGGGTTCTTGTTAAGGAATTTTCGATTGGGTTTTTTTTCTTTGGGGTAGACACCATTTATAAATGCATTGATGCAAGACTTGAATGAAGGGAGCAATAAAGTGTTGGAGTGAGATACAAATACAGATTGAAGGTGTGCGGACAGCTGTGGTTGACAGTTCGGATGTGTGAGTATGCGAATGACGACAGCTCGAGACAGGTTCGAGTTCGAGAAGGTGCATGGATAAAAAAAAGCAGTGGCGAGAGAGCGAGAGAGTACTAATGGAGAATTCCGCTATCAATGCTGGTGGGTGGCAGTGGTGGAGGGGATAAGAATTTCGTCCAGGACGTTTTTAGAACAAATTACAGTGATAATGAAATGGGCCTTTTTTAACATTAAATAGGAACATTACAATATTTTAGTTGAAGTCTTGGGCCGTATTTTGTTAAATGCATCAAATTCTTTTCATCACTAATTTATCACAACAGGCTCATTTTTATCTGTGCTCCAATAATTCATGAATAGAAAATTCAGAATAAATGTAATTTATTTATTTATTTATGTATGTCGTCGATTAACAATGGATCGCCCATACATTTAAAAAAGTGTATGATGTTGTGTCATTCAATACTAGAGCCGACCCATTAAGTCATACAAATTGATCCCGTGGTGAGCAAATAGAATAAACATTTCAGCGGTTTTAATGTGGTTAACTGTGTCTCTTTTGTCCCATGATAGTAAATGGACTGATTTTTTAATCGAAAGTCATTTCGGTAAAGTGGCCAATGGTCGTTTATAATTTTCCACATGTGAGCAAAAAAAGTGAGAACTGTACAGTAATGAACGAACGTAAACATTGCCTCAATGGATGCAATAAATTAGCGATACGAAATTTCGGAGCGTAATCGGATGTAGCTTATCACAGTGTAAATGTTTATGGAAAGAACATCAAACCCATACAGTTAGGGCAGCAGAAAAACACTCAACGAAGCCAGTCCTACGGTTCGTTTGGTGAAGATAAATTTACAATCACCAGTGTCACCCGGATCTGTTCAGTGAAGCTACTAAACGCACTCTAGATAGCTGCAATAGTACCATCACTCGGACTCGGACTACTGCCATGTGGTACGATTACTCATAAAAACGGACATTAAATGACCAAAACGTGACGCACATTGTTTACATAGTACATTACTCGGCCGAGATACAGATAGCCACTGGATAATGATGAGATAAGCAATTCTCGAGAGTGAGTTGATTTTAATCCACGAAAAGTTTAAACAAGCCATGTAGAATTAACTTCAATAAGTTTTACAACTTTTTTTCACAGTGTAGACTTTGCTGCAACTGTCAATAAATGACATGCGGCTGAAACCCATCCAAGTACTTTTATTGCACTTAGCCGCTATTAGCACTTGCATAATTCTCAGATATGTTTGAGTGAGTATTATTGCACAAGACAGGACCCTGAACTGTAAAAAAAAGTAAATAATTATTACCGTAACACAAAAGAGTAAGTAAAATATAAACCTGATCAAAAATCCAACAATATTAACTGAATTTGTTTTGTTTTGCATATCGCTTTTGGTGGCTTGTATACCGTGAAAGCATCATAAGTTGAACAGATGGATAGTTTGATGTAAAGAGAATTAATTGGGTAAAGAGGCGACATCTTACCCATTTGACAGGTCTTGTGCTCGATTGGAATAACTTTTCCTATGACTTTGACAGATAATCGATTGTTCCAATTTTGACATGTCGTCTCTTTATAAATTCAGCATCTTTAGTTCGATGTTTACCCGATTTAATCTTGGAGGCAGCGAGTACGAACCAAGACCAGACTAAGAAGAATATACAGATAAGCATACAAATACAGTTTTATCTGACAATATTCATTGGCGTAACTTAGAAAAAAATCCTAGGAGGGGCTAAATTTATTTATTGGGATTCTTCAAAAAAAAGGCAAAAATCCGGGATAATCCACCTATGGTGAAATCTGACCCTTCTTACTAGGGGATCATGCATAAATAAAGGAACATTTGAAGGGGGGGGGGGTTAGAAGTTGTGACCGGTCATGGATTAGGTATGACAAAATACGCTACGGTGACAGACAAACATTACCCGAGTAGCACATTTCCGACACCTAAAGATGCAGAAACTTGTTTATGACTGGAATAAGTTGTATAGGAGTTTCTACAACCTACTAGGGTAGTCGATTGGTATATGACACTTGGCCTCTTCGGGCCTCGGATCGAAAGTAGGTTTTCCTAGCGGTATGTATACCCTGTCCGTAAGGTAAAACGTAAACATTTTAATTAAATTTCACAATCTTGTATGTTTGTATGTAAAGACTTGTCCCAGGAAAATACTCATAGGAAAGGGGAACGAATGTAACAAAATAAAGTGATACTGGTTTTAAATGTTCCGGTGAATATGGGTCGTGTGTCTAGAAACGGCTTGAATCATGTTAAACCCATCATGTGACATCTCAAATCACATGAGAACTTAAAAAGAAGATCTAGGAATAGATCGAAATTAGTTGCATCCGTCCGGAGGATACCCCAGGGGAAGTGGCTAATGTCTGATTTGGACCAAAACCATCATGCGACACCTCATATCACATGAGAATTCAAAACCTAGTGCAATGGTGGTTATATTAAGTACCCAGGACCACATTCGCCAAATCCGGACATGTTCCGGCTAGCCCAGGGTATTGGTCCGTTTCTGACTTGGACCAAAACTCATATACGACTCCTCAAAACACATGGGAATTCAAAAACAATTTCAATGGTGCATACATAAAGTGCCCTGGATATATTTGGACATGTTGTGGGAACCTGCCTTACAAAATCTGGAATACCTGGAATTCTTCAAAATTTGAATAGAGTATGTTTGAAGTACGCCAAGAAACCTTTTCAATAATTTCAAGCATTTTAAAATACATCCAACTTTATCTTCTTCGCTATTCATGCTTACTCAATGAACAGTGGATTTAACTTAACTAACAGTATAATTAATGTTTGACAATTGTCTACCACCAGCGAATCCAAACACATAAAGCAACCAACGATACAGACAAAACGGTTGCTACGACTACCATGACAAACTCGCTCTGTAACAAAGCTCGATCCGAGTGGTAGAAGGATAATGATATATTGCTTGCCTGCTTTGTTGCAATATACACGGATGAGGACATAGCTTGATATGAATCGGGAAAAGACATAACAAAAAAATTCCCATTAACACACGTGTATCATCTTCCGCTTTACTTCGTGAAGCAGCTTGCCAACAATTTGCTCGTTTCCTTCTACCGCCCCGAATGAGTTGGGTCGCACGAGCTGCTTGTCATGAAAAAGAACGGTGAAGATTATATCATTATTGTTTTCCACTTCTGACATAGCGTTATTATTCGGTTCGTTGATCGCTTGTTATTTTGTCATTTGGAGATATTTTTGATTCCTTGTCTACCACTCATTGTAGCACGTAAACTAAGTCCAATAGCAGTGAGCGCTCCTCACTGTTTGATTTGATCAAGCCTAATAACCTCTGATTGTCCTCAACATGTCACTGGGGTGGTCACACGGTTTTGGTGGATCGATAGGTAATTCACCTATACGCCTCCACGAGATGATAGAGAATCTCCTTCCAGCCATACAATTGGTCAAAAAACGAGCCGTCCGGCAGAAGGATGTTCCAAATAGTATTGAGAAGAGCCCGCCCGTTTCCACAACAGGGAGTTGACAATTTCACTCTCCTCATGCAAATCGCTTCAATTTGGGTGCCCTGGAAGTCCCTCCCCTTCCCATCATTTATTGGTTCATATAATAATATAATGGGTTTATACACAGCAAAAAAAAAATGTTAATATTACATCCAAGAGGATGCACTTGTCGAAAATATCATGTAATTTTTATGGCCTCAAAAATAAACAAATTCAGTAAAAGCAGTGTAATGTCAGTTCATGCACTGTTTTAATGATAATTTTGTCATTTTTGGCAAGTAATATTACACCATATTTTCGACACGATTGAAGTGCATCCACTTTGATGTGATATTAAAATTAATTGCCAATTGTATGCTGTGTATTTCCTTAACCTCAATCTACCTGTGCACCAACTCTCAAAACATAAACAATTATCAAAATATTGCTTGCAATGGATAGATATCAAGCAAACTAGAAGATTAAGTATATTTTTCAGCCGATTCGAGTATGCATATGGCATTAAATCTAGTTTTGAAAGGTAGTGCACAGGTAAAAAGTGAGGTTACGGGACGCCACTGCTATCATTTTGTGAAAGTATATACGGTGACTTACCTTTGATGATGAAGTATCAAAGGTAAGTCACCGTATATAGTTTCACAAAATTGTTAGGTAATACCTAACTTATAACCATCTTCCTTCTTGTCTTTTGTTGGCCTTCTTGTAGGTGGTTGGCCTAAGGTCTCCTATCCCCTGATGGGACTGCCATCTTAGGTGTAGCTTCTGGGGAAGCGCATTTCTTATTCAGCCGCTGGATGCCAGTCAGACGTTTTTTGAGCCGCACCTCCGTGGTGGACAGACGATCGGAGGCGAAGCATTTCCTCTACCGCCGTGCTAGGGTTACCGCGCCATTTTTCGCTTCGCTCCTCACTTTGCTATTGTCGGATTGACAACCTTGCACAGGCTACGCCACCCAGCTATGCCCATATTTTAGCTGGTAGTCGTTTGTAATCATATGACTCGTGGACGCGTGAGGTAGGGACTTGTGAGGACCGGAGCTAGGAATTACGCTCATTTCAGGTTGTCAACTCACCATTTTGTAGCCCAATTCAATTTAAGTAACAACATACATTCTGAAACTTGAATTTCTTTTTTTAGGGCTCTGAATCATGAACATTTTCTACAGATTTTAAACTTCATTTTTGAAACCCTGGTCGTAAAAAAATCAGAGTTGAGGAAATTTTCAAGAATCTGGAATTAAAATAAATATTAAAGACGACGGACACTGAAGGTTTTCCTAGA